CTTCAATGTATCGACGGTGGAACTATCTTGGGAGATTCACATTTTACTATGTCTTCATGGAACACACAATGCATTCTACAATCAAGAGGGTTATCTTGTAAATAGTACTTGCTTAATGATGGGCTCATGTACAATACTTATAAGTTCTACAAACAACATAACACAATTAAAAACTATATGTATACTAGATGAAATATGCAATATATCAAAGAACATATTAAAAAGAATATGGCACCCTTTGTTTTAAAGATAGTAATTTAGAGGGGACTTAGTACCCTAAAAGAAGAGCAAAACATAAGTACATTAGGCAAAATAAACCAGATATATTTCTAATTCAGCAATTTCCTAATGAGATAAAAGAAGATGGGAGATGATTTAAATGAATATGTCGCTAATGGATAAAAAATAAAATAAAAAAAATAAAAAAAATAAAAAATGTGCATATGCGATCATTTTTTTTATTTTTTTTGTTTTCTCCGTGTATGGGGAACTTGTTTGTAAAAAATATTTTCATATGATTAAAACATATTAAAAGGTATCTATATAATAAGCTATTTAAAAGGGAAAGTAAAAATAATCTTTTCATTTTAAAAAAAATTGCACATTTAAAAATTTGGTTAAGACCATTGGGGATAAGTTTTTTAAAATTAAAAATACATTTAATTTAATCTTCTCCCATTTTCTTGTTAAGATCGCCTCCTCTTTTTTTAGCTGTTTAATAGCACAAAAATTCAAACCCCTAGGATTTTGGTTATGACTTATTATAAAATGGTTGGAAACACTATGAGTCTCTACTCCTTTCTTAATATTTCTACAATGATCTGATATGTAGACATCTTGTAGTTCTTCCAACATAAGCTAAATTACAGGAACATTTTACAACAAATATCACATTTTTGGAGAAGCAGGTGAGCTGGTCTTGAATATCAAACTCTTTATCTTCCTGAAAGTAGAAAATAACACAATGTATTTTAGATGTTTGTACTCCTACAGGCCAGACATGATCCACATATAAAAAAAAACCTTTACTCTTCCTCATAAAATAGTGCATAGGATTTTTTTTAAAACTACTTTTCACTATTATATTTTTAAAACTTTTACAACCTCTGTAAACTAATTTTGAATCAGCTGGTAAAATATTCCTTAACATTGGGTCATCTTTCAAGATATGCCACTTTGTTCTTAATAATTTGATTGACTTTTCTTCTTTTACTGTTAGAATTAAAAATAAAAGCTATTTCCATCCCTTTTGTTTTCTTGCATTTTTCCCTCCTTTATACGTGAGTGAATCTTTCTTTTAAGACTTTTTTCACTTCTTACATACATTTCTCTAATTTATCTTCATCATTGCCCTTTTCTACAAATTGTTTAATTTTATGTGCTTGTGAGTTATAATCTGTTTCTTGTGTTCAATTTCTTCTTATACGTAAAAATTGGCTCTTTGGAGCTATCGTCAACCACGGAGTGTGATGGCAGCTTTGTTTATCTATATCACTGTTCACATCCACATCTTTAATATGATTCTTAGTGCATATTTTTATAATAATAATAACTAGTATTTATATAGTGCCTTTTTGTCCCAGTGGGACTCAAAGCACTTTTCAGCGCATGCTCTCAGAATTAACCAAATCAGCAGCTGAATAGTAATAGATGTTATTGTTACCCAATTGATGGTACTCATTTAATTGACTTTGGAAGGAAGGGCTGAGTTGACCCTGCTGTGATTTGAACCTGTGACTTTGCATTTTTGAACAGGCTTTGTAGTCAGGGAATTTATCACTGAAGTACCTCATCTTGAATAAAAGTCTCTAGGTCTAAAAATCTGGCATGGACTTTGCATAGTAGTCAATATTATCCCACAATCATTATTGTTTAAATCATTTTTAAAAAGCTTACAATTCTTTCCCTCAACTTTACAAATAAAAAAATGTAATCTGTGAAACGACGATATGCCACCAAGTTGACAAAGAAGTACCTACAAAAAATAGTTCTTTCTTCCCAGCAGGGCATAAATAGGTTTGCATAACTGGGTGCGAACTTGGTGCCCATAGCTATTGCCCTAATTTGAATAAATAATGAGTCTTTGAACCAAAAAAAGTTTTTGGTTAAAATTAATAAAATGCCTTCAAGAATAAAATGTATTTACTCATCTTTAAAATTTGATTTAATAAAAAAATACTGCACTGCTTCAATCCCCTTTTCATAAGGTATAATTCTGTACAAAGAGCTTACATCACTACTAATAAATATTCTTCTTCTCATTTTATATCTTTTAATACCTGTACCACATGCATAGTGCCCTTAAGATATGAAGGATTTTTTACCACTAGCAGTTGTAGTAATACGTCAATATACTCTGATATTCTAGAGGAGATACACTCAATACCGGATATTATCGATCTTCTTGTAGGGTTAGTTTGTTTTTTATGGACTTTCGGTAAATAATAAACTGGATTTGTTGGATGTGAAATGATTAGGTATTTGGCTTAAAGCTCCACCCAGTGTATATTTGTTTGTTTTATTTAAGGTGAGGGTGAAGAGGATACCCCACAGGTTGTAGAGCGTGTGACTCACTAAGACTGTACGATTTTTGGTTAGTAGAGATTTCCTTTATTTGTTATTTTAATAACCAGTGTAAGAAAAAAAAATGGTCCCTATTATTAGATGATCTAGTACTTAATTGAATTCTACCTTTTGAAGCCTAATTTCTAGTATAAGCTATATCATAATCAGGAAAAAGGCTTTTTACAGACATAAAAAAAATTATTTGAATGTAGAGATGGTCTAAATTATTATAAAATCAAAAAATGCAATCTTTTGGTAATAAAACCGGCTGAATTACAGGAAAAACCTTTCTTTGGTTGTTTATTGCCACAACTCCAGTTCCACAGGGGAATAGAATATGTAACACAATGTGGACACTTACATGATTAAATGTATCCCAGATCCTAATAATGGTGCTCGATTAATCAGATACAAAGAAATCACCAAAACCAGCCACACAATTCGCACTCATAAGGATCTCAGAATAATCCACCTGCTAGATCATCGAGAGTGCATACTTTATTGTAGAAAATAAATAAGTGACAGGCAATACAAAATCTTCAAACACATGTCAATAAATGCACACTGTTTCTCCCTCAGGGGAGTCCTGGGTTTGAAAAATAGGAAAAATGCAATAATACAAAAAAGTTAATTATATGGGCAGTGAATGGAGATGCATATGAGCTCTGAATGGAATTGTGACAAATGCTCCTTGCCCTAGACGTTTGCCACAAATTCATGGAGGAGTGTAGAAGCTGGTCTCCTGCCCACCGACTATGGGCCATATACAAAAACGCTGTTCTGGAGTTAAATCTCCCCAACCGCCATTAGTAGCTTGCAAAGGTTGCCCCTGGTTCGGCATTTTCCCTTCATGCGAATGGAACCGGAAGCTGTCTCTCTGGTGACTGTTTGCGTGAACCAAACCAACGAATAGTCCCAGTGGTACTTAGCCATGACTGCTATGGAACTAATTTTGGCATGAGGACTATGTGGATTCCCGGTCACCTCAACGGGACTTAGCTGCAAATGTTATGGAACTGTTTTTGGCATGAGGTGACTGTGCGGTTCCTGGGCAACTTGGTTTGCGATTTTGAATCACTTTGAAATCCGCCAGGTGAGCGCTTTTTGGAGGGAAAGTGCCTGAGACTAAGGTGAACAAATGCTACCTAGGAGCCAACCGGAGCACCCCATATTGCGGCAGCAGGAGCTCCAAGAAATTTACAGACAAAAGCACCAAACACCCTGGAACAGTTTTGGGCATAGGATCATGTGTGCGGCCAGTCAGAACTTCCCCACGGTGGCATTTCCCCTACACTGCATGGATTTGAGTGCTATTTGGAGAACTTGGGCGCTCAGATCAGGGCTATTTAACAATATATAATTTGTGAGGGTTCCTATGTGCTTTGTATATATTTTTTTAAGTGTTTTTGATATTTTGTATTTTATGGCTAGTCATTCTGACTCTGGAATTTGTAACCATTTTGTGGGTGTGTTGTGGGAGTGTTCTGGGCGTGTTTTCCAGCCTCCCGATTTTGTATATAAGTGAGCCAGTTTGCCAGATTAAACACATTTGTTTCTACCCTTCCATAGGCGTGCGCAACCTGTTGCATTAGGGTGTGCACCCTAAAGCATAAACACACGCCGTGTGTATATGTATTTTTATAGGGGGTAGTGACAGGGGGTTGGGTGGTGGGCGGTGAGTGACAGGGGGTAGAGGGGGGCTGGGGGGCAGTGACAGGGGGAAGAAAGGGGGTTTAAATACCTTCCCTGGTGGTCAAGTGGGCACCCTCTCTCTTCAGTCTGCAGCTCCGCCAGGAGTGAGCTGCAGACCACATAGTGAGTCTCGCAATCTCCAGGCAGAGAGTTGCCGCTGCAATGCTCTAGCAGGCTGGAGATCGCGAGACACCTCAGTCTGCAGCTCACTCCCGGTGGAGCTGCAGACTGAGGTTGGATCTCCGTCAGGGCAGACTGACAGGAGGGGCCTCTCACCCGGCGGCATTGTGGGCAAGCCGCCGGGCCCCCTCCTGTGTCGGGTCCTCGGTCATAGATGTTAGTCTGCCCCAGTGGTGTATCCTGGTTTTGTGCTGCCCTAGGCAGGACAAAACTCAGGCGCCCCCCTCCCCCCCGCGCCACCCCCACCCAACCCTTCCCCCCCGCCCCACCTTCTAAATACACACACACACAGTCAGACACAAACACACACAGTCAGACACATACACAAACACACACACACAGTCAGACACATACACAAACACACACACACACACAGTCAGACACAGACACAGTCAGACACAAACACACACACATACACAGTCAGACACACACACACACATACACAGTCAGACACAAACACACACATACACAGTCAGACACAAACACACACACACACACAGACACAAACACACACACACACACACACACACACACACACACACACACACACACACACACACAGTCACACACACACAGTCAGACACAAACACACACACAAACACACAGACACACACAGTCACATACACACACACAGTCAGACACAAACACACACACACACACAGTCAGACACATACACAGACACAAACACAGTCAGACACAAACACACACACACACAGTCAGACACATACACAGACACAAACACACACACACACTCACAAACACACACAGTCAGACACAAACACACACACACATTAACATTTTTTTTAATTTAAATCCCCCCCCAACCTCCTTACCTTTGGGAGTGCTGGGGGGGGGGGTCTCTCTCCCTGGTGGTCCAGTGGCTGCAGGTCGTGCGGCGCTGGCAGGCGGGCGGCCGGCGAGGGAGCACTTCCCATGAGCTGACTGCTCAGCTCCCTCGCGCGTCGGCTGCAGAGTGAGGCTGGGAACCGGGAGATGACGTCATCTTCCGGCTCCCAGCCTCACTTTGCGGTGCGCGAGGGAGCTGAGCAGTCAGCTCATGGGAAGTGCTCCCTCGCCGGCCGCCCGGGATGTCAGTTAGCCGCAAGGCTAACAAGGCATCTGCCCTGGGCATTTGGGGGGCGGCTTTTTTTGCCGCCCCCTGAAAAATGCCGCCCAAGGCAAATGCCTTGTTTGCCTCGCGGCTAATACGTCCCTGGTCTGCCCTAAGGCAGTGCAGCACAGAGGTGTGATTAGGGTGTGCCCAGGCACACCCAGCACAGCCCGTGCGCACGCCTATGTACCCTTCATCAAGTCTAGGCTAACGTTTGGGGAATTGCTTCACTGGGGATTTGGGAGAACTACAGCGGATATACTCAGCCAGAGTATAGGGGATCCATTACAGGAATGCAGAGTCAATATGTAGGTGATCTTCCATCTTAGAATATAGTCTTAGCTCAGTAAGGTTTTAATCAATTGCGAGGAGTTTATAGTTAGTCAGCAATTGCCCATTTCAATTGCCCTTGTCATCATTTCAGATACTTTACATTTTTGTAGAATGGGAACACTGTCAGTTTGTGTCATTTTTATTTTTTATTCCCCCCCCCCTCTTGTTTTGATTGCAGAATTTGAAAGTCCTTAATCCTGGGTGGAGTGAGGTGGGTATATCCCTCCATTTCCTCCCAGGCTGCATCTTCATGGTTTTTACATTTTTATATTGATAAAGTGTTAGGATCCAGAGTTTCTGTAAGTTTTTTTCATATTTTTTTCCAACCCTCTGGCCAGTGCAGGTATTTACATTTTTTTGTATTATTGCATTATATGTATTTTTCAAACCTTTGACTCCCCAGAGGGAGTATTACTCTGCATTAGTTGACATATATTTAAAGATTTTGAATTGCCCTTCACTTGTAAGATCTGCACATATTTTTATGGTATGGTGTTAACCAGTTTTTCTACAATAAAGTATGCACTCTCCATGATAAAGTATGCACTCTCCATGATCCATCTTGTGGATTATTCTGAGATTCTTATGAGTGTGGACTGTTTGGCTGGTTTTGGTAATGTAATCTGCTGATTTATCTGTTCCTGCTTTCTTTTCTACATTGGGCAAACCAGTACACATCTGCATATTATAATTGAGAAGCACATAAGGAATATTCAAAATGTTATTGAGCATCATAATATTCCATTACATTGTAAGCTTATGAACACAATAAAGATTTCACAGTTACCCAATTTATGTCTATTGAAAAAAACTGTTTAAACAGTGGAGCAGGAGGGATTTTATTTTAAAAAAAAACAGTACATGATGAAATTAATTGGATTTTTAAGTTAGACACTGCTCACCAAATGTTCAGATAATGATTTTGAATTATGCCACTTTCTGTAATTTTTATATTTCTGATGGTATATATCTTTTTTTAATAGTTAATTTATAGCATATGCCTACAAATGCATTATAATTTATGGGTATGTGAATAAATGTGCAGTATTGATTAGCTGGTTTTGTAGTTAAGTGTAATTTGTATTACGATGGGTTTTTCAAAACAAACAACCCATCTATAAATGCTGTCCTTCTTCCAATATACTATGATGAAAATGAGGCTTGAACCCCATGTGTGGAACGCTATGCCATATTGAATTCATAACAAGGTTACGAGGCGTAATACAGAAATTGATATAGCCCAAGAAGAAGCCTTGAACTGGAACCTTTAAGTTTTCCAGTGTTTAAATGAGAATTACATTATTCTCTTAATGTGTGAAATAATCTCGTGTCTTTCTTTTCATTTATTTATATCACATGCAAGAAAAAAATGCATTTAATCTGGTACATTTAGTAATTGTTTTTTACTTTAAAAACCACATTTTGGGAGGTCTTTTTTTATTTCTCTTTTTTTTTGTTCAGCTCTGATAAATACATTACTTGCTTTTATAATACATGTGTTGAAAAGTTTATATTTTGCTTTGATTAAGACAAAAAAGGTAATTAATTTGTAGTACGTTTAGTGTTATGAAGTTGTGGTCCTGGTCAAGCAGGTATCTCCTTCATTGGCCACTTCATGTCATTGCTTGATGTGCTGTTAATTTTGTATGCCTGTTGCATTTTAGATTGGAGTGAATTCTAGAAGTTCTTTTATTAAATGTTGTTGTTATTGATCATTTGACACGTAACAGCAGCAGGAGATCGTGTATGTATTTTTGTTACAAAATGAAGTAAAACACTGTGGATAATCATTCCTTAATCTGTTCTTCTTCACGGCTAAAGCTGGAAGCATTCTTAGGTCTTTAGAATTCATGAATCCCAGTGTACTTATAGGTTATCTAAATCTGTAAGTTGTTTTTGTAAAACACACAGTAAAAATCCAAATAAAATCCATTTTAATTCCATATTGTAACACTACAAACTATGAAAACCATTGGGGGGGCGGGTGAAAACTTAAAGGTATAGATAACCGCAAGCACGCGCAAATTCTATTATTTAACTGTACACTGCAGCCAGTAGTGTAAAAGAATAAGCTGCTTACTTCAAGAGGCACAATTTCATATTGGTTAAGTTCGGTAATGGATTTATTTCTGTTTTAGAAATTCTGTTGTAGATATGTGTATTTGCAGGTATTGTGCATCATTAGTCATTTGCTATTAAAGGCATTCTACCATCCACAAAATACATGGATGAAAGGTAGAGGAGGGAGGTGTGTGTGTGTGTGCCCCCACGAACCGCCGCAGCTTGGTTGGGGTCTCGCCGACTCCTACCCACCCTGGACCTACGACTAGGCTCCAGATTCCAGTGGGTGAACCTCTCTTTCCCCAGAGAGTGAAGCAGGAACAGGAACAAGCTCTTACAAGAGCTTAGTGATTATTCAAGGGAGTATGAAGAGCATAGCAATTCCTTGTAGCAGGTTCCCCCAATAAGAGACAGGACTCTAAATTGAGGGTGAAGTAGAACTGAAGGTTTAACGGTACAGCTGCTTTTTTATACAGTTTTTCCCCACAAAGTTACCGCCCAGGTGGACCTTCTGGGGCACAGGACATGAAATTCACAATCCAAAAAAAACAGAGTTTAACACTTGAACACTCCCAGTTACTGTACACAAACCCTCTGCCTGTGATACAATTAACAAATACAATGGACTAACTCTATTAACTTTAGCAGAAAAAAAGCATACATTTTTAAAAACCCCAAAAAGTACCCCAATATACAACATATCCCACAAAAGTCACATCCACCGATAGCCCAGACAACATATCCAAAATTCACCCAGATCGGTTCAGGGGTTCAGGAATTTCCTGGAAGTCTTATTTTTGCACCACCGTGCACATGGTCCCATGCCCAAAACAGTTCCATACACTCGACGGCAAAACACTGCTTGACAATTTAAGATGGCTGCCGCCACATGTTTGAATCTGTTCCAGTTAAAAGTCTAAGGGGCCAGCGGACCCTGGCCCAAAACAGAAAAGTGGACCTAGACAAACTGGAGAAACACGGCATTAGGGGTGGTAAGACCCCCCACAGGACTCTCCTGATTGAGGCCTGCCCGGCTCCAGCGGCATGGCAGGGGGTTCCGGTGCGTACCCTGAATGGGCCACTCAGGACCAACAGATGGACTCACCGCCCATGCGTACTCACCCCACACCAAGCACCAACACTGCCTTGCTGTTATTTCTACTGAGCCAGACAAGACCAGAGACACTGTTACTGAACATTGGTTCCGTATTATTACACTTATTACTTTTTTAAATTTGTTATGTTATCCAGGCCAACACTAAAAGGGACACAGGCTGCCCCCCAGGGGATACACAGGCAGCGAGTACCCATCAGTCACATCCCCCAAATAGGTACGCAACTATGAGACAAATTAATATGGTGGGCGACAGTATGGGCTTCGGCCACACCATGGCGCGTACAAAACGTGTCAAGAAGTTACAGACCAAGGCACCTCATAGGCGACATTCATACACATGTTAATTAAGTAGCAGACCTACCTACCTAATAAGACAGAAGGGGTCGTCGGCCAATTATAGCCACCCACAGCGCGCCTGTGGCGTTAGACCGTTACCAATATAGAGACTTAACAAGGACGCCGATAGACAACCCTACCCACCTACCACGCTCTCCATATGAGAGATGTAAAGGTACAATCAGCCTACACTACCCGAGGCCCATCAAAGGACAGATAATCCAATGAACCTTGGGCCAGACACACACAAAGGATATACGTTGCATTATATTTCATTAATGTTTTTCCCTTTACGTTTTCCCACATTAACAACACTTCACCTTAAATGCCAAAATGACTAATCTACATGACATAAAGACAATCCTTAAACATACCTATCTTGGGACAAGACTCGCATTAACTAATCGCTCACTACACAAAACTGTGCAACTAAATGTCGTGCTACTGTATACTATGACACACCTGCATCTGCTGTCGTAGCTCTGCGGGAATGTTTGTAAATCTTTATTGCACAACCAAAATAAAGAATAATAAAAAAGTCCAAGGGGCAGAAAAAGTACTTTTGAACATGGGTTATCACAGGGCCCATAGTCCCAGGGTAGGAGGCTGGCAAGCAGGCCCCTCCAAAAACTCATGGCAAAGTGCAGTGTGTCACGATCACATAGTTGTTTGGCTCCTTTTTAAATTATAATTAAAATAGAAATCACCCAAATGGCCTTGATCAAAAGTTTGCATACCCTTGAATGTTTGGCCTTGTTACAGACATACAAGGTGAAACACACAAGTTAAAATGACAAGCAAAGGCTAATTTCCCACACCTGTGGCTTTTTATATTGAA